ATTAGCAACACCGCCCAGCTTCCTGAGCTGCTAGCAACATCATCACTGTAAAATTGGGTATGGAAAATGTGGACATGTACAACATCCAGATTGTTTGTGGTGCTGTCTAAAAGAAAAGGGGATTTTCAGACAGAAGCAAACATCCCAGCACATTAAAACAAGGCCACCTCCATTACCAATGAATTTTGCTCACCTTACTTGCAACTCGATTGATCCTTTACATACAGTCAGTGAATCCGATGAGAATAAAAAGAAAAAAGGTACCTGTCCGCAGATCTCTTCTGGCAGTGCAACGTTTGTAAGCAGAACAGAAAGGTCCAGGGTGTGAACAGGAAACTTCTCCAAAGCGTGCAACACCGCGGGTGCCACGTAAGAAACCTGGCCGTACCCTTCTTTTCCTACTATTAGCAGACGGGGCCGGCGTGATGTTGGTTCGCAGAAAGCACTCCTAGAACAAGAGTTAAGAAAACAAGTTTATAAATGAGGTGCTGAATAGACACACACAGATGTTCCAAGTAATTTTCCTATAGACTTTCTTTTCCATCCCCAAATAATCCAAATGGTAGCGGTACATTAAATACATGTAAGATTTCCAGTTAAGTTATTCAGTCATTCCAGTTGTTTCATCTTCTTCCCTTGTGTTTCCTATTCTTTACTAAACCAAGCCTGCAAATTAATATCCCTGCAATCTTGCTTTACTACTAGGAAATACATTTGTGAGGAGCATTTGTTTCCCCACTACAATCAGGCTCTACCTTTGCTGGCTTAAATCAAAGATGCTAGAGACTTAGCCTTGCTCTAGAGGACAGAAAATCTTCTGGACAGCACAGCAATAGAAACTGAGAAAAATAACTGATCCAGCTGTGACAACATGATCTAACTTTCCAACTGTGGGCTTGCATGACTTCCATACTAAAATACCACAAGATTAACACAACTTGGTGGCTTAACGAACAAAGATACCATTCAAATTTTTCTCAAGGTGTTTTAACAAGCCATTTCTCAGTTTTCTTTCCGCTACATAATTCACCATTGGTTTAAGAATCCTGGAAAACAGAAGGGCAAAAGGTGGCAACACAAACCCATAAAGTTGGGGTATTTTTAGCTAAAAGGACAGACAGGACATTTATGTGGTCTTGAGTCTTTCAAAGAATGCCATGGATTAAGTCAACGTGTTCTGGTAGTCTACGGATCACTTTGGCTTAGGAAGAGAAGCCTGGGCTTTTCAATTTGGTCATTCAGAGCAACTTCATTACAACTTTAGTCCCTTCACTCTTTCTTCTTGTGAATACCAAGCACCCCTTCAACACACAAACTTGATGTTACCCCTTCGTCTACCACCCCTCGCACTTTTAACAGCTGGAACTGTTTACAAAGACTCAGCAGTCCTGAGAATTTAAACATAACAGGGATCTATCTTTCTTTACCTGCTGAAACAGAGGCGTTTTTTCTCTGGTCCGTCAGGCATTGCATCTTTTAATTCATCTCCAGAAACCAAGGATGCATCGTCAGCACTGTCGAACATATCATCTTGTAAAATAGGATTTAAATGGTCTGAAAGACAAAAGAGGTTTGTTAACTTTCCTGAATAGCCTTTGTCTCGTTCTCTTACATTAATACAGCTTCTAAATCAGTGCCAAAACCCTTTCTTCATTTGAGAGCACACACTGAAAGCTATTTCCTAGAGTTCATCCCACCACAGATCTAAGGAGATGGCACAAGGCCCTACAAAGCTGTACTAAGTCCCACTGATGTGTATGTATACGGTACGCTACTCTTGGTGATTTTTTTCTCCCCCTTAGAATAAAGGAGATTACGAACAATTTCTGCAGTTGCTAAATAGCTAAAAAAAAAAAAAAAAAAAAAAAACAAGACCATTTCTTTCTGGAGGAGGTTCCCACAATGAAAGCACGGGGATTAAGGATGTGATGGCCACAGAATTCCATTCATCTAGTAAATATCAATGCTAATTGATCTCACGTGCACATGTATAGTACGATCCACAAACATTTAAATTAGGAGACTGGTTAAAATGATGATAGCTAAAACAATATTTAGCTTAGACCAGTTATACTTGTATCCTGGTCCTGACATTCTTCAGAAAGGAATTAGAAACATTGACCTAGAAATGCTTCCCCTCCAAATATCTGAGTTTTGATTTTTTAAAGAAAAATAGGTGCCTTATACTTCAAACCTCAAGTCAACCTCTACAAATGCTAATTATCTTAGCTGCCGTCAGAAGCAGGATGCTTCAGTAGAGAACACATCGTCCTTTACTGTGTATTGAGTCTTTCAGAGCTTCCATTTGGCATTTCAGTTTCGAATCCAGAATAAAACCTATGCGTTATCTTCCAGACATGCCCAAAAGAAAGACATGCACACGCAAATAATAAAATTCTACCATCATTATGTCTGAAAGGTTTAAGTTGATTGCACAAACCACAAGTTTTTGCTTTAGCAGAATTATAAAGAAGTGGATGCTGTGGTTATACCTTGCTGTCAATCCTCCTTTAGTGCAAGCTGTGCATGCGGGAAGATCTTCTGCACAACTTGTAAAATATTCGCTCCTGATCTTTTAAAAAGTGGCTTGAAAATGGGTGATAGTGCTTGTCCGTGTGAAGCCACGATCCTGTTTGATGCCGGAACAACCTTCTTCATAGCCATGAAAAAGTCCTTTGCTTTTATTTTAATAGAATTAACGTCTAGTAGCAACTTCTCCCTACTTGCATAAATCTGAGGATAGCATCGGCGTAGAGAGCACAGCGCAGCTTCAGTACATAAAGATTTGATATCTGCACCACAGTATCCTAACAAACAAAAATCAAACGTTACATCAGTCAAGGCCCAGGTTTACAACATGCAACATTTAAAGAATTTGTAATGCCAAAACCAAACAGGTTAACAGGGAATTCAAAGTGCTACCGCTCTGCAGGGAAGTTTCATGTTGCGCACTGTCTGATATCCTGCGCTTATGCAGCTGAAGCAGACTCCTCATCAAAAACTATACTCTTGAGGAAGATGCCCCAGAACCACTTAACGTTCTCAGACAACAAGAGGAACGACAACAAAGAGTAAATAGATGAAAGCATCTAACTCTGATTGCTATGAAGGCGTGCCAGCTGCCTCGTTGACTAGTTGTGCAGCAAGGCACAAGAGCTTGGGTACTGCCTGGTACAAGCTAAGGTTCTTTACAACTTGCTCACAAGCAAGAATCCATTTTGGTTTCAGTCTTACCAATGCATTTCTCAGCTAGTTCATCAAGCAACATGTCCGGTGGCTTAGGGGTCCAGTCACGAGTATGAATCTTGAAAATTTCTTTTCTAGCCTGGAAGCAAAATCATTGCATTTTAGCATGTCACAAGTTTTCCTTAAACATACCAACAAGAAACAAACAAACCAAAAAGCAAACAAACAAACAAACAAAAAAAACAGTCCTCCCTCAAAACCCCTCATCTATTAATACGCTTTTCTTACTTGCTCAACCTTCAAGTATTTTACAGTTATTTATTAAATAAATACATTCTGCATTTTCAACCAGGAAATTGAATATTTCTTATTTGTTATACTGAACTTTTTCTAGGAACCTACAATGAAAGAAAAGGCATTTATAGCTTCAATAACAAGTTTCCAAACTACGAGACCTAATGACCCAGAGGAAAATACTGTAATGAAAAATTTATCCAGAAACATTGTTGTCCAAAAAACTTCTCTCAAACTTAGCAAGCTTTCATTGTGACAGTCTCATTACTTCATCACATTTGCTTTTCAGTCAGTAAATTCACAGAAAGCACTTCCGGCACAATGCTTCAAATTGCTACAATTACTATAAAGAAGAAAATAATTATGACTCAAACTACTACCACTGATCCGGGGCACAATCAAATGCAAACACGTCCCCTATTCATTCATAAGTGAAGGATTGAGACCAAAAACACAACTTCATGATGAAAAACACCCAAGTGGACTAAATAATTAAGCAAACAGGTACAACTTTGGGAATGAAAGGTTTGATTATAGAACTAACTACTTGGTGGTATCATCCTGACCATATATATCCAGTACCAGATTTGCCCTCCATGGAACAATGCAGTGTCTCCACATATCACTCTTTTGTTCAAGTTGTCAATTATTTTTTTTTCCAATAAAGTTGGACTTTGCCATGGTAGCACTAACATTCAATTTAAGTTCTCACCTCTTTATTTGGCAAGTTGAAGAGGAACTCTCTGCCAAAGCGTCCTGGTCTTCGTAAAGCAGGATCTATAGAATCCAGTCTGTTGGTAGCTCCAATTACCACGATCTCCCCTCTGTTATCTATGCCATCCATAAGCATCAGAAGAGTTGAAACAATGGAACTAATAGAAAAATATAGTTTTTATTTACTGGTTCAGTAAATTTTGTTACATTCAACATGACTTTCTTGATGCCGGAACAACCTCCTTCCTAGTGGTCATTCAAAACTGGGAAAAAAATAGTCTACCAAGTCGGAGTTTTTTTGATTTGATAATAAATCTGCAGAGTGGTAAGTAACCAAGCACTTCAAGACTGTTTTAAATATTCTCTACATTAATAGAAAAGGAGTACTACACACTTCTGCTCAGGAAGAAAAATCACAGAAAATGTAAACTTTGATTTTAGATGTTGAATTTGTTGCAGTGAGATCTTCCTCATCGCATGATTCTATTTGGATTTAAACCATAGTATCTATGGAGAGACCAAGAGTAGGACAAGAACAGCACAGAGTTCAGCATGAAGCCAATCAAGAGCTCAAATTTGTATTTTTTGTATTCAAGGTGATCCTTCTCTTACTGGAAGGACCTGCTTTTTGACTCTCCTTCTCTTCAGTAGGAGCATGTTCCCTCTTGCTTTGGTAATGCTTTTGTCAGTGTTTTTAGTCTCGTCCTTTCTACCTTGGCAACTCTCTGTAACAGCTGAGGAGGAAAGGTTTTTAGAGCTACATTCAGTGTCACACTTGAGAGAGGAGGTTTGCCGCAATTTCTCACCAGGCTCAGAAGACTCTTTGCCGGACAAAACGCTTTCTTTTGAAATGAGGTCATGTTCTTTTCATCTTCTTGGTTTCTCCTTGTCTCCACCGTCATCACATTGGTACTGTGCGAGGTATTCATCCTTCCCAGTAGATTTCGGAGGGTCCGCGACACTGCACAAAATAAAATCACATTTCTCACTTCTGCTGAAGGACGTGAAGATTAAGAGTAAAACCTTCCAAAGGCAAACAAACAAACAAAAACCTCCGGACTACAGGAACACTCGCAAAGGATATGCCATTTAGAAACCTCTCCTGTGATTAGGACACCTTCTCCAGCTCCCAGAGAAAGTGTTTTTTCCCCTCTTGCTTCTGAAGCCATTGCACTAAAAAAGCAAACGCATCTGTCTCCCTCCACATGCTGCTGCTCTGAATAAGAGCCAGAAAATTCAAAACCACCCTATTTGGTCACCCCACATAGCTGAAAAAACACCAGTTGAAACAGAGTTTTCTACCTCTCTGCCAAGAATTTACATTCACATATCCTATGACTGACAAAATAAAAGGTGGGGCTCAGGAGGAACAGCCAGTGTTGGAAATGAAAAAAAGCAGCCCGTTTCTTCAGAGTCTTAAGCCTATGCTACTAGGAAAAAACAAAACAAAACAAAACAAAACAAAACAAGAGGAGAGGAGAACAACAGCGGGAAATTTACCTATTCTCCAGGTGTTCAATTGCAAAGCCTCCTCTGGAGGATCAACAGCTGTGAATTCAGCGTGCTTAGGAGAAATCAGATCTACGTCTGAACCACAACTATTTCAGTAGTATCACTAACTTACGTTACTCTGAAGAAGCAGTCAGCACCATTTCTATGTTAGGAAATTGCTGAGCAGAGTCTGTTAGTCACAGGAATTATTCAGGCAGGCTTCTTTAGGAAGGCTGGGTTTCATTAGAACATTCCTAGCCTGTAAGCCTCATGGCATCACCTTCCATCTTGACTGCTAAACCTCCTTGCTGCCTACTATCTTCTTTGCCAAGATACAGCTGTCCACATTTACTTTTCCTACTTGGCTGGACTGAATTTAAGAAGCGATCTTGCAACTCTTCCTCTTCTTTGACACTTAATCATCACACCAAATGAAAACTATTTGCCTTTCACCTCTTTATTTCAGCCCTTCTTTCCTAGTGCTCATTCAAAATTGGGAAAAAAATAGTCTACCAAGTCGGGGTTTTTGGATTTGATAATAAATCTGCACACTGGTAAGTCACCAAGCACTTCAATACTGTTTGAAATAGTCTCTACATTAATAGAAAAGGAATTCCTCAAACACGCTGCTGCCACTTACCTTTAGTATAGTCGTTGGATGCGATGGAGCTGTATTTCTTGCTTCCGCGTGCACTGGAAGGCTTTCTTTCCTTGTAAGGTTGTTTACTGCCCTTGCTTCTGCATTGCTCACATGAAGAGCCATCTGGAGGATGGGATTCTTCCTTCTTCTCCCGCGTTATCTTCTGGAAACAAAGATCTAAGTGTTCCAAGGACCCTTTCACTTTCCTGGTGTTTCTCCTTTTTCTTCTTTTTCTTCTCCTTTTTCTTCCTTTGCTTACGCTTGCGATTGGCATTGTCAAAGTGGAGCGCACAGAAACACAAATCCTGAAGTCTGAAAGAAACATGCAAGTTTAAAAGAGAAAAAAAGATGTGGCACTTGTTGCCTATATGAAACTTTATTTATTTTACCACAGGTGATGATTTGCAGCATGTCAGCTATTTTGTGGTGCTTTGTGCACACGCAACTTACTTTAGATGCAGCAAACTTAAGCCCTCAGATTGAAGGACCATAGGTCCTGGTTTGTTCACAGATCATTAACAATGGCTAGCTCTGGAATACGTGCAAGCAGAAAAAAACTTTTAACCTAATCCGGAATGGTGTACGGATGTGATTCGAACTATGTGGTCCAAAGCTAGTGCTCTGACACAATTCAGCAATAGCTTTCCTGTCTTCACTGATCAACCTAACAACATGATCCCCAGCCAGCTGATGCTATCTAAGTAACTTAGAAACTACCAGAAAAAAAAAAAAAAAAAAGGAAGACATGAGAAGCACCCAGAAAAGAATTAGGATAAAAAATGCGGAGTATGCTGGAATCCTTGCTTACTTGGAATCCTTCTCTCCATGTTTATCCTTGGACTTCTTTTTCTTCTAGAACTTGTGATAGTTTTGCATTTTTTTCACCACCTAAAAGCTCCTTTTCTATCTTTCTGTCTTTCCTTTCTATTTCACTTTCACTACCTTCTGCACGGGTAGATTTTCTTTTTCTGTTTCCTTCTGTTTCATTTTTCTGGCGACAGTTCTCCAAATGAGCTGACACAGGTGGAAGCGCATGTCTTTCACGAGAATGTCTTCCAGAATGTTGCTGAGGTACCAAGCAACGATGCAAGTCTGCTCGGGGTGTGCTAAAGCGACGTCCATCTTCATCTCTCAAGAGGGAACCGTGAGGCCATCCACTTTTGTAATGATAATGCTTATGTGACCTGCCGTACTAAGTTGCAGTCCATTTGTCAAAGGCTGCATCGCCGTGAGAGAACTTTCTCTCTCTACTGTCTCCTGTCGCATGAGGTGAATAGTAATCATTGTAATAGCTACATCTTTCTCATCTCTGTGCTTCATCTCGATAGTATCTTTCTCTGCTCCAACTTCTTTCCCCTTTGGATCGGTAATATCTATTGCTACCTTGTTCTGATCTTCCTCCGCTGCCAGATCTGTACTTTGAGTATTTGACTGCTCTTCTGCCATTCTCAGGGCTGTTTCTTTCACGAGGGAAAGATCTGTACCTGCTTCCCTCCCAGTGCTCCTGCTTGTGAGCTTTTGCTCAACAACTTCTCTGAGAGCACCTCCTCTTGCTGGAAGGACCATCTTTTTGCTCCTGTTTTGAGTCTTCTTCTCTTCTGCATCACAATGTCCTCTCTTTCTTCGGTAATGCTCTTTGTCAGGTTTTTTAGTGTCATGTATCTTTCTTTTTAATGTTTTTTGTTTGTTTGTTTGTTTGTTTGTTTTTCATGTGCATGGTGTCGTCTTCCCAGTTTTCTATCACCAAGTTCTTCATTTGGTTTAGAGGACTGGCTTTCCACAACTTTATCCAGCTTTGAAATAGGCGAGTCATTAAGTCATTAACAGGTACGTAGTTTTCAGATATGTCCTTTGTGTAATACACAATAAATGTTTGTTCATTGTCTTTTGTATTATAAAAACAAGGAGTTCTGTTTGAGGAGCAGGACTTGTGAGAGCTCCCTGCTGAAGTAAGGAGCTGTATAATACTTGGCTAGACACTGAAAATTCTTTTGCTTAATGGAACAAAAAAAAGAACCCCCTCCCCTTCTCTCCTTCTGCATCTCAGCTGCCTCTTTTGTTCAAAGACACTGCTGCAAAGCTCATGTAACCACCTCCTGATAAGTTGCTAAAGTGGTGTATCAACATCTTGCCTTCCTGTCTCACGCTGGGCCAACATGACCAAATAAAAAAAAAAAAAAGTTGAACCACAACGCCGAGGAAGACCACGGCCTTCATCTTCACGACCACCAGAGGGACAGAGACGACTCCCTAGCAACAGTGCGCGCAGTCGCAGAATATACCAGGATGTGCTGCGTAATCCCGGAATTACCAAAATATAAAAAGGGACCCTGGCGGGGGTGAGGTGCGCGCCAGTTGGCGGAGCCGAGACTCCCCGGCCGCCCAGCGCTGTTCTGCTTGCTGTTGCTTACTCAATAAACTCCTTCTATTCTTAATGCAATGCTCTCTGAAAATTTATTAAGGGGGCAACTTACAACACTTTGTACCTTGGCATTTATGTGTAATAGCTAAGCATGACCGGAGTGACTCGCCGAGACGGTCGGCTCTGGGGCGGACACGTTGTGCAGCGGAGCGGGGGATCGAGGCGGGCAGGGCTTGTTTCCCGGCACCGAGGCCACCCGAGGCCACCCGAGGCAGCCGAGGGAGCCGGCAGGCGCCGGCAGCCCTCGCGAGGGGAGGCTGCCGAGCTGTGGGGGGAGCCGGCAGCGGCAGCGGCGGGCCGTTTACGTCGGGCGTCGCCGCCATTTCGCGGCCACTCGCCGAGGCGATCGGCTCGGGGGAGGCGCGTTGTGCAGCGGAGCCGGGGATCGAGGCGGGCAGGGCTTCCGCCTCCCCTCCCCCCCGGAAAATCGCTTTTTCTGTAAAATCGGTGACAGGTTTTCAGAACTCCAGTGTCACACTGCGAGAAACACTCTGTAGGCAGTAACATAGGCTCAGGCGAGGATCTCCGTCAGTGAAGTAGCATTTTTATTCGCGGTTGCAATGGCGGGCGTCCCACAAGCAGGAGCGCACCTACTAGTCACATCGTACAGTTTATATCCTTTATTTCCCGACGACCGGGAGCCTCCTGTTTCCCCATTGTCTGGGTAATCCAGGCTCACAACCTATCCGATGCTTCACAGACAATACATGGCTTTCAGTTGCCAGCCTGTTACTTTTCCAATTTCTTTTGACTTTTTGTGCTCTTTAAAGGGGTAATGTTTCTTCACTTATCTGACTTGACACCGTGATTTTCGAGTTCAAGTTTGTATTTATTTATTTATTTTTTGTAAGGAGATGTACCAAGCTGTCTTTTTTTACTAAAAATTGTTTCATCAGCACATTTCTCTATCTTCTTAAGCCTATACTAGTAGGGAAAAACAAAACAAAACAAAACGAAACGGAACAAAAAACAAGTGCAAGAATAGCAGGGCTCCTCAGTCTACGTCATGTGGTCGCTTTTTCCAGGTGAAAAAGCGGGGCCGTAAGTGGCAGTACACCCTCTCTAAGTAGGACTGCAGAAACAATAAACTTACAGCAATCAGCTTCTCTACCACGTATGTGGACTTGTTGAGACTGTGTAAAAACCCTTCAGAAAACGTCATTTTCACTCTTTGCCCTCGGATAGCAAGAGTGCCAAAATCCTTTAAGGTGAAGTCCGTGTCCTCCCTATTTGTGAGGATGCGGTAGAAGTATTGCAAGGTCTCCTCCAAACAGCTCTGCACTATTTCCTTGCTGTACGGGACGTTCAGGCGCATATTCTCATAGCTCAGCACCACTATCTTCATATCATCTGGAAAAAATGAGGAACAATGCAACTTGCACTGCAGTTGAACAGATTCAAACAAAGTGCCAGGAGCTTCCAGCTAAAACATGCTGCTGTAACTGCTGTAGTCTAAGCCTTGTACGACTCCTTAAAGCAGCTGATGTATGCCCCCCCTCAAGAGAAACTGAAATCATTCCATCAATGTACCAAGTGCACAGCTGTGACTCCTCAGCCCAGAGACAGGACCCAATGACCTCAGCCGTCTGCGGAACACAGGAGGAGGAGGCAAAAGGAATGCGGCTGGTTCCCATGCAAAGAGCCCAGGCTCAGTGCACGCCTGGTCTGGGGAGACCTGCCTCGCACTGAGACAGGCAAGCACAAGAACTCTTCCAGACAGTTCTGGATAGTCCCTGTGGCCTTCAAAACTCAGGAACAAATGTCTCTGCTTTTGGTACCAATGCCCTTTACCCCAGGGCTGCCTGACAGAAGTTCCTATTATCCAGGAGAAGCTGAGAGTCATTGGAAAGAGAAGACCCACCCCAAATGAAGCACCAAGCTCTTAGTGCTGCGCAGGTCTCATCCATGGCACACAGTAGCCAAAGCAATGGCAGCAGTTGACAGAAATTACAGCAAATCTGGCCATTGATGGGTTTCTATGCCAGCCATCTCTTCTCTCTCTCAGGGCCTTCTGACGGCATCTGAGTTGCCTATCAGCACTTCTAAACAGCAATCGGCATAACCCCTTAATATATGTACACATGGGAAAACAAGACTTTAATTGGTATTCTTACCAGGAACGCGTACACAACGGTGTTTCAGGTTACGAATCTGTCCAAGAGTCTTGGACGGTGAAAACACAGGTCTCCGAAATGTGAACACCTGGCCATTTTCAAAAGATAGCCATTTTTTAATATGGAATGTCCCCAGTCCTGTTACAGTGACGGCCCGAGGCTGGTAAAGAAAAGAAGGGGAAGCATGTTTAAGTTGGAAAACAGAGTGAGGACTTGTGACATCTTGCAACGGGGTGCCCTGTGCCCTGCCCACTCCCAACGCGGCATGGGGTAAGCTGGGGGAGCTGGGAAAGCTCATGAGAAGACCCACATACTCGGGGCATTTTCTCTCCTTCCTTTGCCCCTCAAGAAAATGCGCGGTGAAGTAAAGCAGGTGGAGGAGGTCTAGCCCATCCTTCAGCTAGGTCCCTTCCAGCAATTGGGGTTAACCCTGGAAGCATCCCCAGCTGTCTGTTTGCTCTCTCCACTCTGAGAGCGAAGAACAGCGAAGCCCCAGCAAGTTCTGAACACATTTTCCTACCGTTTTGTATCTTTGATATAACTATAAATACTTGATTTTCTGTTGGGTTGGTTTCAATTATTACAATTATTTCAATTTACAGAGAAGCTGGTCTTTGGCACGCTTGGGGCACATCTGTACGTGTCAGTGCGGCTCTGGGAAGAGCAATGGCACTTGCTGGCACAGGGCTGCCAGGACTTCCTGAAGCCGTGGGGTGAGGGGAGGGGTAGGGTGCAGTCCCACCTTCGTCATCATGAGCAATTGCCGAACCTGCTTGGACACACCACCCCAAATTGTGATGACATCTGGAAAGCAAGGGAAGGACATGTCAAGCTCAAAGTCAGCAAGTCCATGGCCCATCAGCACATTTCTTTACAAGGCGTTTGCAGATGCAGGTGTGATCTAACACAGCTCCCAGGATGAATCCATCTGTGACTCTGGATGAATTTTTGACTGATACCAGTCTAACAGCTCTGCCACGTCCCAGGAAAGGTCCTGCAGCTGCAGGAGCTCTTAAAAGCGTTTTGGACAAGGGAATGCAGCCTGTAGGCATCTGAAATGGGAGGGCCTCTCTTAGCCCTAAGCCTTTTCTGAGAGCCATGAGGCACAGGAGGCTGCAGCAGGAAGAAGCCACAGGCAGGGAGGGGCTCAGCCCCTTCATGAGAGGCCTTGCTGAAATGCTGACAAGTCAGCAGATCTCCTCCTGACACGTGTATTTCTGGCAGTTTCTTGGGAGCCCATCAGGAACTGCAGGAACCTCAGCCTTCTTCCAACCGTGCACGCATCTTTCCCTTCAGAGACAGATCTCCACGTGTGACCCATCAGCAAGCGGAACCCGGCCACAGGACTGCCACCACGGGCAGGGCACAACGCCACACACACAGCACCCTTGGGGCCTCCCCCGCAGACAAGAACCTCGCTTTCCACAATTTGTAGAGTTCGTATCAGTCTATAGCTACACTCATAAGAGGTCCCAAATGCCTTACCATTGACAGAAAGCTTCTTGAGTGTGGGAAACGTGACCTTGGTGCAGCCCTCAACCTCACTGCAGCGCTCAATGTTGGTGATTAGCGCTTCCAAGTTTGTCATGATCCTGCTTTGGGTCAGCACGTCAGGCTAGAGAGTGAAAGATCTGTGATGTTTCCTCCCTTTTTGATGCCCTCTGTGCTTCACCAAATAGCTCCTGCACCGTCCTACGCCTCCCTTTGTCCTCTGAGACTCTGAGCTACAGGAGAGACTTCTCGTGTCCTCCAGAGAAAACTGGATGCAAGAGCCTCCTTCAACGCCCGAGCTCACTGAGGCGATGACAGAAAGGGCCTGGCACGCTGTGGCATAAGGGGAGCTGCCATTGTGATGCGGAGGTGTCCCTCTGTGACCCGTGCTCATGTCAGAGGGGTGCAGGGCCACTCCTTAACACAGCCCCTGCGGCCCAGCCACCTCATTGGGCCCTGCAGCAAGAAGGGGGCTGCATGTTAGGGAACTGCTCCCCCATACACACGCCCTCTCCTCACTCCCCAACGAGGCTGTGAGACAGGAAGAGCCTCTGAGATGTCACCAAAAGGAGGACAGAAACTCTGTTAGTAAGGAAAGCGGCTGGATTCACAGGACTAATGGCATAATAATAATAATAATAATAATAATAACAACAATAATAAACCTGCTTTTTGACTCTGTCAAGATCTGTACCTGCTTCCCTCCCAGTGCTCCTGCTTGTGACGCTTTTGCTCCACAACTTCCACGCTCAGAGAACACCTCCTTTTGCTGGAAGGACCTGCTTTTTGACTCTCCTTCTCTTCAGTAGGAGCATGTTCCCTCTTGCTTTGGTAATGCTCTTTCTCAGTGTTTTTCGTCTCGTCCTTTCTACCTTGGCATCTCTCTGCAATAGCTGAGGAGGAAAGCTTTTTAGAGCTACATTCAGTGTCACACTTGAGAGAGGAAGTTTGCGGGAAGTTTGCATATTCTCATAGCTCAGCACCACTATCTTCATATCATCTGGAAAAAATGAGGAACAATGCAACTTGCACTGCAGTTGAACAGATTCAAACAAAGTGCCAGGAGCTTCCAGCTAAAACATGCTGCTGCAACTGAGCGACAGTTGATACCATGATGCACCAGCACTGCATATAAGGTGTACAGGAGTGGTTCTCCAATTGACTGCGACACATAGGCTCGAAGGTCCAAATACTCAGGATATTTTACCTCCTAAAGAGAGACCATGAAGATAGAAAAATTATCCCAGAGCACTTCGTGGACTAGCCAGAGAAAAACACTTCCAAAAAACACAGTCTAGAATTACATGAATGTATTTCTTGATTCACTAAAAATAAGTCTTCCCATAAACAACGTTTAATACTAGAAGTTGCAGAGAGCTGTTTCGTGATGAATTAGCCTTCTCAGAGGAAAGCATATACTTCTTGTATATGAACTGTGAGGCCATCCGCTTTTGTAATGATCATCTCGATCATCATTCGGTTCATCTCGATAGTATCTTTCTCTGCTCCAACTTCTTTCCCCTTTGGATCGGTAATATCTATTGCTACCTTGTTCTGATCTTCCTCCGCTGCCAGATCTGTACTTTGAGTATTTGACTGCTCTTCTGCCATTCTCAGGGCTGTTTCTTTCACGAGGGAAAGATCTGTACCTGCTTCCCTCCCAGTGCTCCTGCTTGTGAGTAGCTTCTCCCTGTTTCTCTTTGAGGAGGGGGAGTGAGAGACCAGTTGTGGTGGAGCTTGGCCACCCACCCAAGTACAACCACCACACACCTAGTAACCTCTAAGAGCAGTCTAGAGGTCCACCTGGAAAATCCAGCAGTTGCTAGAGTGCACTGGGAGTGTTGTGAGCTCTCCAGGGGTCACAAGAGCACACCACTGGGCACAGGGATGCAACTCAAGTATGCTAAACAACACGGGTGCGTATGGGGGAGTGAACGAATGGCCGTATGGTGTTGAGATACCTCCTGCGTTAACCACAAGATCCAGTCATGTCAGCAAGCAAGCCAGAGTTCAGGAAGCTTTTGGACAACACTGTCAGATATATGGTTTAATTTTTAGGTAGTCCTGTGGGAAGCCAGCTGTTAGACTTGATGATCAAACCCCTTGCAACTCAGGATAGTTGATGATATTCTCCATGAAGTTGGCCCAGATCCCATGAGCTGACCTGATGAGTCACAAAGCTGTGCACACATCTCATGCCGCTAGGAGAAGAACTTCAGGTGAAATGAGTTTTCTCGAATGGAGTGTCTCTAGAGGCCAAGTATCCTGGCTCTGATGAACTACCTGTAGCCAGGGTTTTAGATACCACGGTAGGCAGGCCTGGTTGGGTGAACATAGCTAAACAAGGCGTGTGCCCTGTCAGGCTCCTTATCTGGAAAGTACAGGCGCATCTTGTCCAGGAGATGGCCTGGCCAGAAGTTATTGTCGCTTGACTTTTGATTCTTACTCTTCTCAAGACGCCTAAAGAAAAATAAAGAAAAGAAGAAAAAAAAAAAGTCAGAGAGAGTAGCATGTTTTATGGAAATAAAATTCTAGGCAACTTCACTGCTATTACTAGTAATGGCAAATGCGAGCCTGACAAGAACCAGCTACTAGGACTTCTGGAAACCCCTGCCTGTCCTTCTTCTTCATGACTGACATTGGAAATGCCAACTTGTGAAGCTGTCTTGAGAACTGATGTGTTGCCTATCACTGTAGTACATAAACTCTCTGAGATGAACTAGGAAGACTGTGCTCTATTTTGCAAAGTGTTTCTTCTCCTCAAAAGCTTCTCCAGTCTTCCAAAGCTGGATTCTTTAGGACTGCCTTTCTTCCATGAGCTCAGCTGTGAGGCTGAGTCTTTCTATTCAATCGGATTTGGGAATCACTTTGACTAAAGAAGGTGCTGCAAGTGCTATGACCAAGCTGGTAGTGGACATCCCAGTTTCATGGGTCAGGAAGGACCTGTGGACACTCATGAACTCCTTGGACAGTACGAGTCCGAAGACAGCAGGGACAAGGACAGCAAAAGAACTTGGACTCGTTTTGGAAGAAAAGCTTTTGTGGGTGACCTGAGATGCAAGAAAAATTAGGGCAAATTGCCTCTGTTCTCAGGGCTGACATTGTGTCTATGTCTAGAAAACTTGCATCTCCAGATCCTACAGATAAATGTTGAGATGCAAAGAACGTTGCTCAGGAAAACAGATCTGCCACCTGCATCTGACTTTTCTCCTGCAACGGTTAGTAACGCTCTGAAGGGTCAGTTTTCTAGAGGAACAGAGGAACTGAGGTGTAATGGGAGGAAAAGAAGCACCGCCCTACTAGGAGCAGCTGGCTGCACGCTGCTGTAGCAGGCTGCTTCTGCCCCCGACTGGAGAGCTTCTCCAGTCATCCAAAGCTGGATTCTTTGGGATTGCCTTTCTTACGCAAGAAAAAACATTCTCTGAGAGGATTTCCAAGAAGCGTTGGGTTGGCCTGACAAGGACCGTCTTAGGTGAGAAGTTCTGTCATCTCTGCAGTTTGGAGTACAGAGAAGCTGTTCGCCAGCACCACTGCAACCCCGCAAGTCAGCAAAAACACAGCAGTGGCCGTGTAGCTGAGAAGAGATCTCTCTTCCTCTGCTATCGCTTGCTGCTACCTTGCAGCACCCTAACGTTCCACTTTGATACCTCAGTACCGCCTCTGATGCAGTGGGAGCTGATGCACAGCAGGGCAGCAGGAAGGGACTGATCATAAGCCCTCTTTGAACCAACCTGTTTTCTGCCTCCTTGGCCTGTTTTCCTGATGCACTTTTTGACCTGGACATGCTCAGAGGAGATGTGGCGTCAGCATGTCCTGTGCTGTAGTATCCTCCAGGCTGCCTGATCTTCCTCACGTCTTCTCCTTCTTTGATGATCTTGTCTCCTGGGTGCAGCAGGCCTGTTGACAAAGCGCACAGAGAAAAGCAATGGTGTATGGACAGCCAATGCTGCATAGCCAAGAAAACTCTGTTCTCCTGTTGCCCCAAGCCTGTCCCCCTGCCGATCCAGGTCACCTCTGGGTTTGGTCGGTGATACTGACCGGGAGGGGACAGAAAAAATGGCCCCGCTCTGGAAAGGAGGAAGACGTGATGGCCCAGCAAGTGCTGAGAGGACATGATGGCCCTGGCCAACTTCACATGGGGCCTCTTCCCACACGCCCTGCCCTGGGCTCAGGAGCCCCATTTCAGCTCAGCCCTTTGCTCACGTTGCAGCTGTAGCAGTGTCCAGCTGACACAGCTCTGACTCAGCTGTGCCTGGCCATGGACCTGCTGAACCTGACCATGGTCTGACCATGACCTTTGCCTGACCTTGCACTTGCCCCATCACCATGAACTTGCCTCATTAACTGCACTCGTGTCTGATCCTGGCTACCAGTCCAGGGGGACGTGGCCCTGGCTGCTCTGTAGCACTCTTTGCTATCTCAGCCCTGCTCTGGCCCTGCTGATGGTATTGCTGATCCTAACCAGCAGCATCTGCCGTGGCCCTCCAAGGGCTGCAAACATTCTCCATCAGCAGTGCCCCACCCTGAACATGCATCGTGCTTCTGGGTCTTGGGAAGAGGCAGGAGCATGTCGGGCTTAGTACGTTCACATTAGTACATTCCTTGCTCTTTGCTTTACCTCTTTGCAGCGCTTTGTCGGTGAGACAGATGTTACGCTCCTTGCACTGCTTGGAGCAATTCAGATAGTTCACAACGGCATTTCTGCGATAGTGGTCAACCAGTGCTCCCATGTCACCCTCTATAGTTGATGGCAGGCAGTGTTCATCGACGGGTGCATCCCCAGATCTCACCAGCCGACACTTTTCTTTCCACTCTATCGGGCTGTCTTTGATCTGCAAGTAAAGCAATGGTCCCAGTTAGCTTTCAGTGAGGCCCTGGAGTTGCTGCATTCCCTTTGGAGAAACTACAGGCAGGGATCCATCTCAGAAGTGCGTGTAGATGGGACTCAGCACCCTGCGATGGGACCAAGCGCTTATCTGGGAGTGCCATTCCCTTCCAGTGCCAGGCCCACAGGCAGACGCTCCCTAGAGCACCAAGCACAAGAGCAGCATACTGGACATAGGTGCCCCAGCTGAAAAAAGTCTCCCAGCCACCATCTCTTCTCTGATTGTGTCAGGTTCACTAGAGCTCGGATGACTCCATCCCCACACCTGAACATAGCTTCAACTTCCATTTCTTGACGCTTCAGTTACCCAGAAAAGAGTGTTTACATCACCAGAGTGTTCAGAAGCCAAACCAGTTGTTTGAGACAGCTTGTAGCATCTCAGCTGTGAGGCAAGATGTGGTCAAGGGACTACTGAGAAGGTAATATCCAGAACAATCTCCAACCTTCTCCTTTGCTGCCCACCCCACATTCGCGAGCATGTAGAGGGGCGCCTTTTTTCCCGCCACACTACCTTCTCCAGCCGTCTGCTCTCTCTTGAGCGCTTTCCAATCTCTTCCATTTCATCCCAGTCTAAATGTCGCCGGCCTGGCTCAGTGTTGACTGGGGGCACTTCCAAGAGTATTAGCTTTTCTTTGGGCTCCGTGGGAGAGCAAGGCTTCATCCCCACAGCTTTGTCCCCAGCAGAAGGTGGAGAAGTGGCAGCTTTGCAAGCGTTTCTCCAGACCCAAGGCTGTGTATCTACGGCAGTTTAGAAAGCAAACACATGAAAAGCTCAGAGAAACCCTGTTAGACAGTAGCAGAAATAAAAACAAAAAAAACAAAAAAAAAACAAGGCTGATCAGTGTTTATAAGGCAAAAAGCTTTGGCATTTTGTGCAGTCTGGAGCACCCAACAGACGACGATCTTTGAATGGAAGCATCCTTTCGCTTTCAATCCAGACACACATATTACAGACGACTCCCATCTCCGCTTTGCCCCATTCAGTTTCATGCTCGCAATACACGTTCAGGCTACAAAACAATTAGTACAACAACACAGCAGCAAAATGCCTCTTCTCTCCCAGATGTGAGAAGAATGTTGCCATTACCTTCAGATAAAAATGACACAGGTACCATGGCAAGCCTTCAGGTTTGGGCTAGGTTTTAAAGAGTAGGACCTTTGAATCTGCATTGTCCAGCTGCCCTCAACAGCTGGAGAAAGGGTCTGCTTCTGATCAGCCAGATGATCAACGCTAACCAATAAAATCCAGTACAGGAGGTTAAACCTCGGGGTTCAGATTCTGAGTCAAACCTAAAAGATCGGATAAGCTGTCTCCCACAGATGGGCTGAGTATTGCACTTCCCCTGGATTCTTTAGCTTCTCCCCAGAGGTCTCTTTTCAGCAACCGCGTTGCAGGACAATAGTTGCAAGGAGCCATATTCTGGATCTACTTTGGCATTCCCTAATGCCACCTGTGTACTTTTAGGGCATCTGCAAGGATAGAGATTCCCAGCCCAGGGTTCTCCTCTCACCTTCGCCGGTCTCTTTGGGCTGTCCTTTCCTCATTTCCTGCCACTGCTTTTGACATTCAATCAGATCTTCACTGCTTATATAATTCCTCCGCTTTGAAGAAGTCAAGAAGATGACCACATCCTCCAGTTCCTTGTCACTGATGGGAACTTTTGTCTGGCAGCCAAAACAGGAAGCAACAGTGTGATCAATAAAAAAACAAGGCTTGGCCCAGAGTAGGGGGGTGTTGCCGACGGAAGGAAGACCCAGACGCTCAATATGAGTGAACAGTGAACTTCAAACTTTAATGGATAGCTCAGTCGACTTTTATCTAGTTTGAACATAATCAACTCATACATATTGCAGAAACTAAGCTCAGGATTGGTTAACACTTCCCGGGCTTTGCAGTCTGTTCCTCCTTCTTTTAGCTACCTGTCCCGCCTTAGGGACTTTCCCCGATCGCCCAAGGGCATCGTGTCCTTGAGCCTGATTGGCTCTCAGCCAGCTGCATACGTGCCAAGGCTCATGTGAGTTGAGTACGGTACTTCACTAGCCCATTGTCTCCCAACTGCTCAACATCCACATGTCCTACCTCACTTAACCATTCCTCCACAGGGGGGGGATGAGCTTTGCTGTTGTTTAAATGCTTTTTCAGAAAAGGCACAGAGGCAAACTGTTGAGCTTTAAGCTTTACATGAGTTTACCAAGCACTGAAAAATTTACTGGTCTTTTGCTGTCCTCTGCTGAGCTCTCAGCTTTCAATGTGCCAAACTTCTCAGCCATCTGGGCGTCAAGAAGCTAATTTGGCTTGGAACAGAACATCAGAAAACACCTGAACTGCTAAACCCTAACAGATCTGGACATGCTCTTGACAGTTCTGTACCGTTGCAGCCTGTGGAAAGTGAGGCTCAGCATGAGCTCTGCTGTGCCAACAGGTACTAAAAGGCAGTGCAGCGGGCAGACACATGAAACTGGCCAAGGAAAGACCAAGTATCAACACGAGGAAACTTGATGCCAGTTCAGGCCACGTTACTGAGCGCTGACTGTCTTTAGAGACTATGAGGCAATGAGTTTCACTCCCTCCTGGGACTCAGTCTGGGTGGCAGCTCGCATCTCTGCAGCCTTCCCTTCCCTCTTCCCTTCAACATTTCACAGGCTGTGGGAGCCATCCTCTGAGAGTAACACAAGAGAAGTTGGAGCTTTTCCACTTCTCCGGGTTGGCATGCAGCAAAACAAGGCAAAGTTGCAGCAGTTCCTTACTTTTCTCTTCCCTACATACCTCCTTGATGACTTTAATGAAGTCTGCTCTCATGATCTTTCTCTGTTCCATTCCAGCCTTTCTGAAGATGTCTACCATTGTCAACTTCTGTTGGTGTAGGAGGTTATGCAGTGCGATAAGAGCTTGAGGGTATGGTGCACAAATAAGGGGAAGGCTACCCTTCTTCCGGGTCTGGCTCCTTGGTGGTGGTGAACACTGAAAAGGAATTCGAAAATACCCTCAAATCACCGTTATCCAGAATCACTCTGCCAGCAGATGCAGAAGTGGCTGGGATAAAGCAGTGTCGCGCTGCCGACTTACAAGCAGATGCTGAGGCCGTGGCACGGCCACAAGAGATGAAGTACAGTAATCCCAAGAGTGGCACAACACCAGGTATACTTACGTCTGGCCTGTCGGTCTCGACTGACTTGCTTCTAGCCCTCTGGTCTACTCTAGCTGCCGTTATTCGTTTCCTGACTCTTTCTTCCAGTTTGGTAAAGGTAGGTTTATGACTCAGCCATTTTTCAACATCTCCAAAGCTTTTCAGCTGAGACCGGAGTTGCTTCCTCTCCTGAATCCAAGCCTCCAGCTTTTGTAGATCATCTTTTGTATCACAGGTGATCTCTGGGGAGCTGAGGCTATCTTCTTCTTCCTGTCGCTGCTGAAAAACAGACAAATGACAGAAGCTGGTGTCCTGAGCTGGTTTCAAACAGGGAGAGTCTGGTCTTGCCACACAGGGAGCAAAAACGAATGCAACATGTGGAGCGTGGAGCAAACCTACTTGCTTTCCGTTTAAAGACAAGCATTGGATACAGTTTTCTCCCATGGTGTAGTTTGAAACCCTGCTCCAAAACCACTTCTGGCTTGACATTAGTCAAACCATCGGTCATATGCCTGCTGCTTATGTTAGTACTTTAACTGCAGATGAGCTTCTTACAAAATCTAGTGTTGAGATCGCATTGGTATAATGGTTTTGGAGGGGACTTCCTGCGCTGAGGCTTTTCGGAGCTATAGATGGCAAGGGTGTCTGGGCCTGCCACCGATCCCAGGTGTACAACAGCACTGAGAAATAGCCATCAGGCAGTCGCAGAACAGCATCAAGACACGTGTGCCCTGCCTCTCATCAAGGTGTTGGCTCCCTGCCCTGAAAGAGCAGCTGGAACAAAACGTCAGCTGTTACGCTCATGAAAAATGGAGGACTACTGTTAAAACGGCGCACTGGGAACCCCTGGGCAGGGCCCGGTTCGCTGCTCTTCCCTTGCCCGCTGCCGTGCCCCACCCCCTCCGCCCCTCTTTCCCGGGCTGGGCTCGCTCCGCCCGCCGCGCCCCCGGGTTCCGGGGGAGGAGGTGCTGCAGGGGAGGCAGCGCGGGAGTCGCCTCCGTTGCCATGGCAACGCCCGGAAGGGGCCTTCCAGGGTTGCTGGGTGGCCGGAAATGACGCTGCGGCTCGCGCGGAGGCGGCGGAGCGGGGTCGGAGCCATGTCGGCGGGAGGGTCCGGGCAACGCGACGCTGGGGCCGCCGGCGGGTGAGGCTGGGTCCGCCGGGGCGGGCGGCCCGCGGGCAGGGGCCTCGGTGCGGCGGTTGCCAGGCGCGGCGGCTGCCGGGCCCGGCGGCTCGGGCGCTGGAGCTCCCGGGAGGCCGCGGCCGGCGGGGACTGAGGCCTGTCCGTTTTCCAGGCGCCGCAGCAAGTGGGACCAGCCCGGCCCGGCCCCCGCGTTCCTCCTCCCCGGCACGGCTCCGCTGCCTGGGCGCCCCTTTCCTGGCGGCGGGGATGGCGGCCCTGCTGCGGCCGGTTCCGAGAGCTCCGCGGCTCCATCCGGGGCGCTGGATGCGGCCGCCGCCGTGGCGGCGAAAATCAACGCGATGTTAATGGCCAAGGGGAAGCTGAAGCCGGCGCCCAGCACGGCAGACAAGGTGAGTGAGCGGGGGGCGATAGGAGCCGGAGCCGCTGGGACCCCGTGGCCTGGCGGGAGAGCGAGGGCAGGTATCACGTCCCTTGTTTGCGGCCCCTCCGGTGTTATTTTTTGAAATGTCTGTCTATAAGACAAAGAATGGATGGGGGGGGGGGTTCATCCTTGGAGTAGGCTGTAACTAAAACAACCGAAAAAGTTTTCTTGGTGTTTGCAGAAGAACAGAAAACTGACATAGCTGTAAGTCCTCCTCCGCAAGTCTTAGCCAAAGTGTTTGTTGTTAAGATAAATACTCTGAAGTATATTCTAAATAGTACAGCTGTTTTGTGTATATGTTTTTGACATCCATAGTGTTGTTGAGACTGAGTTATTTTTTAAGGGTTGCCTTACGCAGTGGTATCAAAATGATTATTTTTTTTTGTTTTGTCAGAATCATTTGTAGATAATGAGAGTGGCAGATGTGCCCTGCTGTGTAGTCACTGCAGATGGTTCACTGTTGGTCGTGTATCTGAAATGGTGATTAGAGTCTTTAACACGTAAGGTTTAGTAGCAAGTAAGCCCCTGGGAGCAGAGGCACAGGCGCTGTTCTCTTCTCTCTGTTGACAGCAACGGGATATGAGGGAATGGCATGGAGCTATGACAGAAGAGGTTTGGGTTGGGTGTTAGGAGATGGTTCTTCACTGAGACGCTGTTTAGGCACTGGAACAGGCTCCTCAGGGACATGGTCATGGCACTGAGGCTGCTGGAGTTCAAGAAGCTTTAAAATACTGCTCTTAGACTGATGGTCTGATTTTTGGGTTGTCCTGTGTGGAACCAAGAGTGTGTTCCTTGTGCGTTGCTTCTAATATTTAAGTAACTAATTATTAAAATGTCCTGAGGATAGAACTAATAATGTTTTTTATTTGAGGTTGAGGTTTTGTAGAAGTGACTTAGTAAGTAGTAGGTAGGTATAATGTACTTTCTGTTAATATTTGTAAAACTTTTGGGTCCAACAGCTAAAAGGGGAGAATGTAAAAGGTATTCAACTCCCTAGATTGCTAGGGTTGACATGTATGTTACGTGTTTTTTCTCATCTTTCCAACCACTGGTCTGTTTCAATGGTTGTCTTTGAAGCTGCAGGCTCTGGGAAAAGGTCCAGCTGCAAGTAAAAGCAAAGATGACCTTGTGGTGGCAGAGGTAGAAATCAACGACGTGCCCCTCACATGCAGAAACCTGCTGACAAGAGGACAGACTCAGGATGAGGTATGTTCAGGAGCTCCTGCTGACTTGTGAGGTATGGCAGCTCAATGGTTGTACATTTTTTTTTGTATGGTTAAAAAACCTTGCAGTAAACTATATTCAGTGGTTGTTTTCTGTTCTTACAAAACTTACCGTGTTTTCTTAAATGCTTCTTGAGTAGTTTATTGGTTTGTTCGATAAGATGTCATATCACAAGGTAACCTAGCATAGCCAGTATCCTTTAGCAGGCGCTATTTATTCTCTTAACACTTTAGTAATGATTTATGTTCTCTTTATACAACAACTTAGCTTAAACCACTTTAATGTTTGTGTGTTTTATTGGTAAACTTGTCACTTCTTTAATTGCTTGTAGATAAGCCGACTGAGTGGAGCAGCTGTCTCTACTCGAGGTAGATTCATGACTGTAGAAGAGAAAGCAAAAGTTGGACCTGGGTTTGTATTTTTCTGCCCCTTTTTTTATAATTGGTTGGTTAATAATGAGGTTTTCTTGTTTTTCATGAGCAGTGTCGTGTTTGTGTGACAGTAAATTGACTATTGAATATTTCAAATGTGCTTATACGATAATACTGACTGCACAGCTGCTTTCCTTCCTGCTTTGAACTGATAAGGTGAAATAAAAAAACAAATGTGGAAGATCAGAGTGTGCTGAAGTTCTTCTGTTTGAACCCTATACTAGATTTCTTGAGCACTTTGTCAAGGATGGGACCCTTCCAATTCTAAAGAAAGCTAATATTTCATAGACTCGGTGCTTTTATTTGTCCTTTCATGTGGACAAGCAAGTTAGAGTTTTCAATAGAATAACTTTTTATAAGTTGTCATGTAATTAACTTCTGAATCTTTGTAGTTTCTAGTGCAAAGCTTTGCTAACTGATTGCTGTGATAATGTGAATGGATTGTTTTTCTACTTCATGTCTATTGCAAGATTTTGAGGAAGAATTCATATAGCCAGATAACTGTAATAGAATTAGATTGAATCCGTTACTGTATGTGCTCTGTGGATTTAAAGGAGTGTTTGACATTTCCTTCCTAGAGATCGTCCTTTGTATCTTCATGTCCAGGGTCAGACAAGGGAATTGGTTGACAGTAAGTGTGCAAAGCATTCTGTTTTTATCGAATTATTTGCAATATGTTAAGACAGTCTTGTCGTACTAATAGGTTTTGTTATGACTGGTATGGATTTGTGCCATAAATAATGTCAGTGTTAATCATTGATGTTAGTTTTGAGCAGAGACTTTATCTAAAGTACTGTGTCCTGTAAGTCATGGAACTAAAACCTTAGATTTAGCACGAGAAAGTGCAATATGTGCTTTGATCACTGCAGTTAGTGTTGCTTTCAAAATTAATTTCTCCAGATGGATGGTGTGTGTATGTGGCAGGCAGGGGATGTGGTTTTGTTTTTTTCAACTCAATTGCCTGATTTTTTTTTTTCTATCATCAAGCATGAAGGGAATCTCTTATGTGATGGCATGTTGAATCTAGTCTGCTGTAGTTATCAAGAAGATCAGCGTTTGGGTGGCTATCCCCCTAGTATAAATTCTTTTTGTGAAGAGAACTAAGATCTCTTAGTAATTTCCCTCTACTGAAATACAAATATACTTCATATCCTGTCATATAGGAGCTGTTAACCGTATTAAAGAGATTATTACTAATGGAGTAGTGAAAGCTGCCACAGGTTCTAGTCCAACGTTCAACGGAGCTACAGTTACTGTCTACCACCAGCCAGCCCCCATTACTCAGTTGTCTCCAGCAGTTGGTCAAAAACCTCCGTTCCAATCAGGGGTAGGTAATTTATTTCTGTGTCTTTCATTGAATATCATCGATTACAAAATTTGCCTATTGCAAAGTATAAATGTTGCGTTGTTTACCAGGGGAAAAAGACAAACTTGCATGTTGTGAAATCTGGAGGACTAATCAGACTGAGTCTGAAGAGTGAGACTCAGGTGACAGTAATCTCCTAGAAGAAAAGGGATGGAGAGAGCAGTCCTACTTAGAGAAAAGCAAAGGGCCTACTGTGCCATCCAACACTAACTGTTCTGACTAACAGAAATGAGATTTTTGGTCTCCAGTGAAATGAACATCCTAATTCTAAGAGTGAAATAATAAGCCTTTACTGTTACATTTACAGATGCATTATGTTCAGGACAAATTATTTGTTGGTCTGGAACATGCTGTACCTACATTTAACGTGAAGGAGAAGGTGGAAGGGCCTGGTTGCTCCTACTTGCAGCATATTCAAATTGAAACAGGTGCCAAAGTCTTTCTTCGCGGGAAAGGCTCAGGTTGCATAGAACCAGCATCAGGCAGAGAAGCCTTTGAACCCATGTACATCTACATCAGGTATGAGGAGGCTTTTAAAAATAGAATAATAAAAAAATCCTAGTGACCTCTTAGGATTTTAGCTTAATTTTTATTATTGTGGAGAGTTCTTAGTCTCAAAGTCTTTAAGAAGATGACTTTAAGAATTATGTCTTCATTCTGTCCGATTAATGCAAATGAGGCAGGTTTTATACTTCTATTTTAATAGAGAGATCTATGAAGTGGTAAAGATGGAGGAAGAAGGATAGTACTATAATGTTACTACTTCTGCTGGGAAGACAGTAAAGCGATGTTCTTCTTGGGCTTGGGTTGTGATGTTGAACTTTAAGAGCTCAACAAAATGCATTGAGCAACAAGTCA